AGATAATGCACAGCTTTCTGCATAAGATGTCACTGAAAAATATCAAAGGTTTGGAGAACTGCCGTGTTCCTTTGTGTAGCCACAGCGCGGCTGTTGCACAGACGCCAAATTGTAGCGTAAGAAGTATTTCAGCCTTAAGAGTGGGACAAAAAAACCCCCGCAAAGCCTGCACCTGCACCCACAAAAAAGAAAGGTTAACAAATAGAAGTTTCCTGAATAATCACTAAGACATCTACTGTGTGTATCTGGTTTAAATCAGACAGAAGCATGAAGCAAATAAACCAACTTTTTTTTGTTTCATCAGAATCAGCCACAAACCCAACTCATTTTCTTCCTCATCAGAAAACTTCAGAATGAGATACACCTGTGATCTGCAACACAGGAAAGACATGGATTCTTGATCTGACTCTCAGGTAGTGTTCAAGGAGCTGTTGCCAAAGATGGAGCTGATCTCAAGAAACTAGAAAAAGGCAACTTTATGCATCAACTTGGTAACCGAAGCCTTAAACTAAGTTCAAGAGGAAAAGGTAAAGCAACACTGCAGTTAAGGCGAGTGACAATAACTATACATCAGCCTAACACAAGATGAAAGGGTCATTCTTGACAAGGAAGCAGCTATAGTGGGCCAGTATGCTACAGATCTGTACGTTAGAACAAGAAGACAAGAATTATTTCTTGCATTGTTAATGATTTAGAAGCTTTAACAACTTCATTAGGATAACTCATCTAACCCCGAATACCAACATGAAAAGTAACAGATGGGTGGGGGGACAAGGGAGAATTGCTGTTACCTTGTGCATTAGGGATGTGTAGGCTTGCCCCTAGAAGGCAGACTTTTGAGGGTATCTGGGGAGGGAGAGTACATGACTGCTACCATGGTGTGCAGAACACAGCAACCACCCAGGAAGTCATTCTAGGGCTTCTTGTTGAAGGAATGAACAGTTCAGAGAGGAACAAAGCAGGACAAACTATCCAGGAAGACCCTGAAATGCACACCATTTAGTTTAGAAGACAGAGAACACAGTCAGAATCAAATCCGCAGGAGCTGTACGGAAACTGCTCGAGAACATCAGAACAGAAAGTAACATGGCTGAATGATGCCAAGGTAAGAGTTTGAGATCCTCACTAGAAGAATGGAGAGCAAACAAAAACTAGTGAACTACAGTGAACATTGATTTTGTACATTTCTTAGAAGAAAATTTGCTGAAGGAAAAGTGATAGTTCCTTGAAGAAAGCAGTATAAAAGTCATAGTTCCAAACTATTCCAATGCAAATTAAATAGAAAGGGTAATAAGGAACAAACCCAGGTAGATCATCACCGCTTCTGCAATCTCAAAAAAGCCTAAATGAGGTATTAGAAAAGTGTAGAAATTAGAACATATTAATAACTGTGAATAAGAACAGCAGGAAAAGCACTGAAGCATAAAGCCTACAGTATTTAAATGTAGGGCATTTTTGTATTTTCCCCAGACACGCTAAAACCATTCAGCACCAACCAGGTGGCTTATACCTGAAGTCCTCATTGACAGGCCTCAGCTTTGCAGAAGCATTCTCCTGGAAAAACTGCCTGCTTATGGCTTGGATGGGCATACTCTTCACTCTGTAAAAAACTGGCTGGATGGCCAGGCCCAGAGAGTTGTGGTGAATGGAGTTAAATCCAGTTGGTGGCCAGTCACAAGTGGTGTTCCCCAGGGCTCAGTACTGGGGCTAGTTCCATTTAATGTCTTTATCAAGGATCTGGACGAGGGGATCGAGTGCACCCTCGGTAAGTTTGCAGACGACACCAAGTTAGGTTGGAGTGTTGATCTGCTTGAGGGCAGGAAGGCTCTACAGATGGATCTGGACAGGCTGGATTGATGGGCCGAGGCCAACTGTATGAGGTTCAAGAAGGCTCAGTGCTTGGTCCTGCACTTGGCAACGCTACAGGCTTGGGGAAGAGTGGCTGGAAAGCTGCCCAGCGGAAGAGGACCTGGGAATGTTGGTTGACAGTGACTGAATATGAGCCAGCAGTGTGCCCAAGTGGCCATGAAGGCCAACAGCATCCTGGCTTGTATCAGAAACAGTGCGGCCAGCAGGACTAGGGAAGTGATCGTCCCTCTCTACTCAGCACTGGTGAGGCTGCACCTTGAGTACTGTGTTCAGTTTTGGGCCTCTCGCTACAAGAAGGACATTCAGGTGCTGGAGCATGTCCAAAGAAGGGCAACGAAGCTGGTGAAGGGTCTACAGCACAAGTCTGATGAGGAGTGGCTGAGGGAACTGGGGTTGTTTAGCCTGGAGAAAAGGAGGTTGAGGGGAGACCTTATCAATCCCTGCAACTACTTGAAAGGAGGCTGTAGCCAGGTGGGGGTTGGTCTCTTCTCCCAAGTAAGAAGTAATAAGACAAGAGGAAATGGGCTCAAGTTGTGTCAGGGGAGGTTTAGATTGGATATTGGGAAAAATGTCTTCACTGAAAGGGTTGTCAAGCACTGGAACAGGCTGCCCAGGGAAGTGGTTGAGTCACCATCCCTGGAGGTATTTAAAAGACGTGTAGATGTGGCACTTAGGGACATAATTGGACTTGGCAGTGTTAGGTTAAGGGTTTGGACTTGATGATCTTAAAGGTCTTTTCCAACCAAAATGATTCTATGACTCTAAGGAAACGTTACAAGTATTCACATGAGAGAAATTTTCAAACTGGCTTTTGTCTGGTGAACCTTATCACAGGACACAAACTGCTGACAGCTCCAAGACTGCTTTGATGAATTATCTCTGAGAGCCTGTGGAGAACCATGAAGCAGCAAAACATAGAGTCTATCTTTAAAAAGGAAGAGCTAGGAACCAAGTCAACCTTATTCCAGTATTTTTCCAAGAACTTTAGTAAGCAAACCTTTTACCAGCACTGCAGTGGTGTAAAGCCCGACACAGATGGGTAACAACCAATATGGGCATCCGTAAGCAACTTATCAAACCTTTTACATTTACTTTCACAGTAGGATAAACAGACTTTCTGGAAAGGAAAAGATCCATCAAATTACAGCAGATGTCAAAAGACTTCATGAATTCAATATCTGACCATATTCTATTAAGCAAGGAAGGAAATTGTTCTTATCCTTCTTGAACTTCATCCTTTATTTACTTTTTTCCTTAGCTCCTTCTCTGTCTTAACAAGGCAGCTTTGAATTCTGAAGCTGTATGTGATGTGATCTGCATATATAATAAACTTAATTTTACTCTCAAACTCACCATCAAGAGACATTAAAAGTACTGAAGTGGGAGGGTTCTCTTTAAAACTCTGTTCTGTGTAGCTTGCCATTTTGACAGTGAACTGTTAAGCAGTTCTCTCACTCTGGTAGCTCAGCTAATTAGTACCTAGGCTATAGCAGTTCTTCTCCAGGGACCATGCAATCCGTAAGGACAAGAAGTTAGGGTCATAGAGAGTTTAAGAAGTGTTTCCTTCCTGAATTCCCTTGGGCAAGTGACAAAGGAACAGTGCAAGTCTATATGAACAAAAAGTCCAACATAGAAATAAATTAATAGTTTTCAACTTTTACAGGTGCTTAAATATTCTCCAGTGGAAGCAGGGATCATAGGATGCCAAATTTAAGCCTACTGAGAGGCTTTCTTCTAAAAAAATTCCCTTTCAAAGAGTCCTTTGAAGTAGTATACGCATTCTAAGGTCTGTAAACAACAGCTGAAAAACAATTAAATGAGAGGTCAACATTTTCTGAATCTTACTATTTTAGAAATACTTCAAAATTATCCATCAAGGGAATATGTCTGATCTTTTGAAAATAAAACTTGTTCAAAAACTACCATACTTTAGCACGACAGAATGGCACACTTCTTCCAGCAACAGAAAGGCTACAAATGCTCTCATAGCTCCCAGAGTGATCACCAGCTGTAAGCTCTGCTGCTGAAGAGTTGAGATTTCAAAAAGCTTTTTAATCAAATTAAAACTAAAAAACCCAACCATCCCAACCAGATAGCTCACACACACAAAAAAGAACAGATTCTCCTTACTGCACTTCCGCTCCAGACTATCAGCTCTATTTCCTCTCAAAGTCCACTAAAAATCAGCTGATGCCAGACGCACCCCTGAAACAAATTCCAGCAGGCAGATTCTGGCAGAGTTTGGAGCCTGGGCTTTTGTACATTGTAAGCAATCGAGCCTGAGCCACAGGCAACCTGAAATGGCTTCATCTGGGCAGTCTCAATCCATCTTGACAAGGAAGAGAACCAAAAGAAGCCCTCTCAATCAACTCAATGGAACCCCTCCATTAACATCCTTCAACTACCTTTTTTCCTCTTTGACAATGCCAGTTATTTTGGAAGACGACTCAGGTCATGTGTCTCTGCTACTTAAGCAAATTCAAGCAATTTTTTTTTCAAAAGAGGCAAGAATTAGCCTTTTAGATAATAAATAAAATTGATATTTGAAAGAAGATACCACACCAGTACAAGTTCTCAAACCTTTTCCAAGAAGCAAAGCTTATGAAAAGCTTGCTTTCTTATAAATACAAAAGATCACATACAGAAGTATTAATTCAGCAGAATATGTCCACGTATATAGTTAAATAAATATATATGCTATCAGAGCCTAGCACAGCCTGTTCAATAACTTAACTATGTAGTGTTTGCACAAGTTTTCAAACAACAAAGAGGTAGCAATTACGAAGTCCAGTTTAAAAATAGGACAGCATATTCTTCTGAGGATTACATATATACGTTCCCTTAACAAACAGGCAGAAACAATCCCTGGATTATTCCGTCTAGTAAACCATATTTTTGGAGGTTTTTTTGGTTTGGTTTTTAAACTTAATCAGTAATACTGAATAAATACATAGTAGTAGCTTTGAGCTGGGTCTCAAAAACCAAAGTTAACTTGCAGTCAGGACTTAGTAAAAAGCTGAAAAGAGCACTCTTTTTTTTTTTTTTTTCAATCGTATTTCTTTGCTTTAAGTAAAACTGTCAGTAAAGCAGCGTTGGACAGTGACTTATTGTGGAAGTTATTACAAGTATTCTTACCTCTGATCTACAAAAACAAATTTTCCATCTATTGCATGTCGAGAAACATATTCTGTAGGTTTCACCCTGATCTCACCGTTGACTGGCTGTGGTACTACGTGAGGATGCAGCCGTCCAATTGCAACAAGACAGCTTAAATTACAACCTTCGTTATCTGGTTCATTATCTTCATCTAGTCCCATTTTTGTTGGCGGCCAGCTTTTTAAATATCCTGTACTATGAATAGTGCAAAAGCTTTTGCGGTCTGCTGTAAAAAGAAAAAAAAAAACACAACAAAACCCAAAAAAGCAGTTAGGTCATGGATATTGCTTTGGAGAACTTCATCTCAGTTCTGCTAATAATGCATCTCCTCCTGGATAAGAATCCAGGAAGTTTGAGATACTGTTCACTAAGGGATTTTTTCAGCACTCCTGCTTCAATGCAGCTAATCTGAGATAATAAACAATTTATCCCTGCAAAATCATTGTTTACACTGAAACACCACATAGTTCAGACGAAGGCTGCTTTTGATAATCTTGAAGTAGAAATTGCATCACATTTTAATTATTTCAGCAAAAGATGCAAATAATCTAAAGGCTAATTTGGAGAAATTAGTATATTAATAAATAAATAAGATGCCTTTTTCAACTTAATATGAGGCTCGTATGAAACAGCGGAACAATTTGTTTGGCAAAACAGACACTGGGGTATACAGGGGATAGCTGTACATAGGATGTGAGGATGAAGATTCACAATGACAAGTAATATAGTCAGTATCTGCAAGGAGAACTCATATTTCTCAGCACTGAGCAGGCCTTAAAACTGCAAGGAAAAAGATTTTCATAGAGAGGCAGAGTAAGAGGTGTATGCCTAACAGCACAGACTAGTTTCCTCAGGGCTGAGCACTAAAGCTCGATCCAAGGTCGAAGCTGTGCCTGAGCCTAGCAGAAGTACTTGGGGCAGCTGTCACATCTAGAGACAAAACATTGAAGTTGCCTTCTGTTCTCTAGGTCACACTTTCTACTAATACCAAATGTATTATCCAAAGTACTCAAAGAAGCAGCTTTCAAATTTGGACTCAATACATATTCCAACATGTCTAGAATAATACCCTGCAGAAGAAAAAAATATGACCAACTTTGATACTGTTATGACCAAATACTTCTGGTGTAGGAATGCCATGTTTCCAGTACTCAGAATAAACTCATTTTTTAAGTTGGATATCCACACAGATATCACTTGTCAAATATGGAGCAGAGAAATAGAATGAGTTGTCCCCTTTGTTGGGGACATTGGCTAGAAGGTCAAGACTGAATGCGATATGATCGATGCCTGAAGAAGATGCAATAACCACACCAGAACTGTCAGCACAAACTGCCTGCAAAAATTACAAGAAAGCAGAAAGGTGAATTTGGCTTTATATGCTAATACAGTGTGTAAGAGCTACTATTGGGGGGGAAGGTGTGAAGTAATAGACCTAGTTCAATATCTAGACATAGTTCAATATCTTAATAAGAAACATTGACATTGTTCCATAAATGTAAAAAATTTCACCACTGCAAATGAGCAATTGCATAAAAAAAGCCTGACAGCCATTACATTTGATAATAAAATGCATAATTGTTACCTTTCTTCTTTGAACAGGTTGAAGGAAAATCCTTGTCTTCTACTTTCACTGAAGGTCTATTGCACTTCATCCTACAAAAGAAGGACCGTCTTGCTCCAGAACACAGTCGTGATGGCCCAGGTGTTATATCAGTTTTAACTGGGAGTCCAGCTGTAGCAAACAGAGGAAGTGAGGAAGCCTTCTTTGTCAGGTAAAAAGTTAACCATACAAATGATTACATCATATGACCCAACGGTACAACGTTTCAGTTTTGCTGGGACTCACACAGAAGTCCTTTTATATCCTTCTTCAGAAGCAGAAGTCCTATTTTGGAGATTTTCATGTAAGTGAATATGTGCAGGACTCAAATGACCATAACAACATTAGAACTTCTGATTACACATTCTAGCGTGAAAACATTGACACCAGCTTGAGAACAGAGAGTTCTAAATGCAAAGATTAGCAAAACACTGTACAAATCCACACAAGTTTTGCAATAAAAGCTGTGATTTCTTTGACCACTAATCAACTGATTAAAAATAGATATTATGTACCCATAACCAGAGCAGTACTTCATACGTAGTCACTCAATAGGCCCATACCCCTTCAGACCGGAAGAGATTTCTATCACAACACCCACCCAGAGAGCACATATGCGCATATAGAGCACAAGAGGCCCAGTGCCATTCCAGGTCCATCTCAATTAGTGTGTTTCTAGACATCAGATTTTTTTCATTGTTCTGATGGAAGGAGGAAAAAAAAGGTAGCAGCGAACTACACAGGGACTGCAAATCCCCAAAACCTCCAGTTATGTGTAAGAAGTCTCTCTTGCTTCACAGAAATAAGTGCCTATGAACATGCTGTAACAGTAAGTCCTGACCTTTTTCATAGGTTAATAGGAAATTCTTAGATTCTTTTCTGTGGAAAGTAACTGGAGAAAGACAGTACCAAAACACACACCAACTCTGGGAGCCAAGAGCAGAGTACCGGAACAAGCAGAGCTCCTGGCATACATCAGGAGCATGGGTATCAGCAACGCCAGTGATGCGGCTGGAGTTCCAGGGGACAGTGCTCCAAGAGGTGATGGAAGATTTAAACCACAGAGCAACTTTTCCACAGCTTGCTATCCACTTCAACTATTTCTGTGTGGGGATACGTATACATGAACAGCTATAAACACATACAAAAACTTCTAGGGCCCTGTAGGCTTTTAACGTAAGGAGGAAAACAATGATGCCAATGTTGCAAAGTGTGCCTCCCTTAAAATTAGAATTGAGTGAGGTCATCTCAAGGAGGTCACTGTCCTGCACCACATGCACTCTAAACTGCTGTTCAGCGGTGAGGGTACAAGCTGTGCCTGAGTCCCTGATGCCAACATAAAAATAAATGCATACATACTAGTAATCTTAAGAATATGAGTTCTTGAAATTCTACCAATCAGTCTATCATGGCAGATGGGAAGACTGTAATTCGTAGTATTTATTTTTGCCCTAACTTTGTCAGAGGCATACAAAAAAGGAGCTAGCACTGGATATACATGCTTGACAACCAGACAAAACCAGGAGCCAGGAAAACTTCAGCTGATCCAGCTGGAGCCTCTAGGCTCACTGCCCTGGAATGACATCTCTCAGTTTCAGTTTCTGAAGTTGAGCTGGTGGATTCTTTGAGATGAGATCCTAGAGATTTCTGCTCCTGACAAGCATGAGACTCAATGACCTGGAAATCTGCAGTTGTAAGATACCATCTTCTACTTAAGCAATGCAGATTCCTGTTATGAGAGTGAATTAAACACCCACTCAAACGCAGCAGAGATACAGAACTACTTTGAAGTACCAGAGTGGAATAGAGCTAAGAGACATAATAGGAAATGATTCCAAGGACCACGTTAAAAACCTTATAAGAGAAAGGTTAGGTCATTGATGGAAGTGGCAATAAGCAAGTAATAAAAAGAATCCTCTATCTTGACTGACAGCTAAGGATCACCAAAATAATACTGAGTGTATTCTGACCATCGAGAATGGTGGATTAGAACAAAAGCTTCATATGTTTCACTGGGAAAAAATTAAACTTTTGATGCCTGGAAAAGAGAGGATACCTCAGAGGTGAAGCCAGTGAAACTAATGCATCTATATTGCAGTGCATGCCCAATCTACTCGCTTCTACAGTCAGGTATCTGTTTCATACCTTTCTCCCCCCCGTCTTTAAGCTGAAACTTCCTTGACATGACACACAATCGGAACAGCACCACACACACACACTTTTGACTTCAGGCAACTACTCAGAAGCACTGAATCTGGCTACATGACTGTTTTTCAAAAGGTGGTAATACTTACTTTTTGCATCTATAAGCCTTTCTCGTGGTGCAGTGTCAGAAGAAGAGAGCTGCTCCTTCACTTTGGCAATGTCTTTAGGATGAAGATAATCAAATAAACTTTGACCAATCAAATCATTCTGTAGAGATTGAATATTCAATCAAAAATTAAAATAATTGTTCAGTATATTTTAGCATCTATTATAAACAATCCTGTTACGTATTGGTCTCACCAAGGAACATCAAACATCTGAGATCTAGGATTTAATGGAAGGTATGTTTTCTCTGTATATTTAAGTTATGACTACATTACATAGTAATTTATTTCATTATTTTAGTAAGAGTTTTACAGAAATAGCATGCTTAATCCACCCACCGCCACCAAATATTCTGGTTTCTCTTCAGTCTCACTTCATATGGTACACATTTGAAGGAAAAAAATAAAAATCACGGTTGCAAATGTTGTCTTTCAATATTTATATGACGAGTAGGTATTTAGTATATACCTAACTAAAGGTTGGCTGAGGAAAACTTTTGAAGGTAGTACAGTTTTTAAATTTGGTAAGGAGGGCAGATGACAGTAAGAATGAAGAATATTATTTACATAATATATGGTGCAAGTTAAGCCACATTAAGGAGATATTAAAAAACCATCTTAGGTATAATTGCTTCCCTGTTTCCATCAGTAAGTATGGAAAAAATTCACGCGAATCTATCGGAAGAACCTCAGACTGATTTGCTTACACTCCCAATTAGATAATGCTTTTACAAGTCTGAGAGCAAATCCCTGATCAGAATGCATGAAGTAAGTGAAGTTCCTTTTTGCCTCCTTAGTTTGAATGGAAACCAGAAACAATCTTCTCTAATGACATGGCAAAGAAAAGCGCTTTCTTTGCAACAAATCTCAGCTTTCAAGACAGACTATTCACATAAATAGCCCTCCGTATAAATGCATAATCATAAAAAAAGCTTTCAAATCTCTTAAGGCCTAACATTACTTAAAATGGAAAAGAATACCTGACTGTAGTTGAGGATCTTGAAGACAGATTCTGAAACAAACAGTATCTTCCCTCTGTCACAGCCCACAACAAAAAGAAATCCATCTGCTGCCTAATTAAGGGGAAAAAAAAAGTAAATTACTAAGTTATACATCCTCATTGCATCATTATAACTTTTAAAAACACATTGTATACAGTAGAATTTCTATGCTGGGAGAGCTGCCTTAACATTTAGAGATAACTGAGTCAACAGGCAAGATATGAAATTACAATAAAGGTTTGGGGGTTTTTGCATCTGCAAACTTTTTTGGCATCATTCTGGGCATCATGCCCAGAATGTAAAAATCACTTTTATGGGAAGAAAGAATCCATGTCTTGTCCAATAATATTATGACTATGTTTAATAATACCTTCAAATTAAAATATTATTTTAACTGTATTTATTCCATAGTTTCTCTTTTAGAAACCGAACATAGCCTGGGTATTTATTTATGTGCCTGCAGGCAAGTAATTCCCATTTCAATAGTACTCTTTTTCAGTCACATACAAGCGTGCAGGATTAGGCCCTAATTTTATAGCTTTAGAGTCACAATGCTGCAGAAATTAAATTCTGCATAGGCTGTATATGCTGCATTTGAATACTGCGGTGCTTCACAAATCACACAAGCTACTAGAAGAGCTTAACTACTGACAAATGATATATACTCTCCATGCTATAAAAGCGGTGTACAGCAAGCAGCCAAACATACTTAGTCATGGTGCATCAGCAACCTCAAAAAAAGGTGTTTGTTACATCATTGTATGCTGAAAATCATGTCAAGGTAGCCCATAGCAGAAAGTCTGCAAGAAAACTTGGTTCATTCCATTAAATAACTGAAGATTCTGATGGTTGCCATCAAAATACCAGTTTCCTCAGCTCTCCCTCCTAAATCTTTCTGCTTAAATTAAGAGACACTAGTCATCGTTAAAACCCATTGACTTTATAGACTAGTCTTGCAGATTTCTTCATTATCCTTCGTAATCAGAACATCCTTAATCTGAGATACAAGGCAGAAAAATACTGGTGTTTTGCTTTGGGAGAGTTATATTCACAGCCATTAACATCTCTTAATTAAAAGCTGAAACATACCCTGAGAATAAGATGTTTTAATTCATCATCTGATAGAAAAGCAGGCTTATAGTTTGCTTCTGTATATGGGTTTGTAGCACCTAAAGAAAACAAAACATTCCCCATATCACAAATGCAACAATACACACTTAAATGAGCAATTTTTTCTTTGGCTCTTTCTTATACTGTTATTCATTGCATGTATTCTTTAAAATGAAAGTTGCTTTTTGATTTTGTTTTATTGTTGACATGAGCTCTGTTAGTATTAATTCTAAAAAAAAATGAAGCTTTTTTGCTAAAACACAAATACTGTATTACATAGCAATGCAAATTAAATGCCTTCTGAAATATAAGCGTTCCTCCACACATTTTTTAACCCAAATCCAGTGCTTAATTTATGGTCTATCCTCAGAATTAGAAATGAAAAGTACGATATTGAAGAATAAAAACCTTCAAACTATTTTTTCTCTTTATAATTTAGTAAAACGTGATAAGGTCATGTAAACAGATTGTCACTTACAAAATCAGGAACTTACAAATCAGTTCTCATTCCATGCCAAAGAGAAAAAACAACATTACAATGCCATCTCACAGCGCCAAACGCCCAAAACTAGCAACAAATGAGGCAGCTATTTATTAAAGAGTAATTCTTGTCATTCTATTCCCTTCATAAAGGCAAAAGAGTGTCAAATTAGTAACCACTGAAGTACTATGAAGTACTAACCTAATCAAGTGACAGTGGCAGAAAAAGTTAAACCTTTCAAAAGTGCTAGGATAAATATGATTGGAAGACACCAGGTCTCCTAAAAACTAGAACAGTGAGCCTGTCTTTCCATTAGCTGCATCACTACCTTTTATCAGAGGCATATTTCTTGAAGGCTTAAGCTTTCACTGTCATCACTGATAGTACCCAAGCACTGATTCACTCTCATATGAAGCTTTAAAGACAGAAATACAGAAACTGCAACAACCTCAACTCTTCCAAACTCACATGTTTCCCTTCAGGTGCTTGTAACAGAAACTAGTTAAAGAGACTAAAATTGAATTTTCAAAGTACTCTCCATTCTTTCACACAGAGCTAAGGGTACAAACACAAAACCTCAGAAGTCCTGTAGAAATACTTACACCTAAAATCTAGCCTCTCTATCCAACCAGTTTTGCATGCTGCCTGCTTAAGAGCACTGCACAGTGCTACACAGGACTGAACTGCGCACTGCCACTTAAGCCCTTTGTTCTCTCCCCAAACCTGCCTCAGCTGCTTTGCTTTTGTTGAAACTAGTGGTGGTGATCAGTCAGGTCAGACGATAGAAAATTATTCTTTTCTCACCCACAAATTTCCCAGCTGGATCAGGATATTGGACCATGAACCAGTAAGGTAGAAATGAACGCGCAGCATCAAATGCTAAGAAAAGAGAAGTCCTCCCAAAGTGTCTTAACTTACTCCTTTTTGGCAAAAGGGCAAGAAAGGGAGAGAAAAAGCATGGCTTTGGGGAAACTCCACTCCCAGTCAACTTACCACGTAGTGTTTTCATATGCTGGACAGCCATCCTCAGTACAGTGAGTTTATCTAGCTTTCGAGACATAGCGTTGCACGTTGGTACCAAAGATGCCAGTTCATCTATAAAACTGTTCATTTTATCTCTACGCCTTTTTTCAATTTGACTATGAGCCTCCCTAAACAAGTAAGGTGGTGAGGAAAAACAGAAAAGCATGAGAAAAATCATACAAAAAAAATCCCCAAATCCAGTATAACAAAACCACAAGAATAACCTCCTCCTGATAATTAAGTTACCCTCTTATTCTTGTGAAAAGGACATCCACATACAGAATTCTTCAGATGTTTCATGTTCATTATGTGGGTGAGTAACAAGTTACAAGCAATAGGCAAGGCTGCAGCGCATAGCTCTCATTTACCAGAAAGCACATGTAATGTTGGCCATACAGTACACTGCATTCTTATTCTGAAACAACCCACTAAGCAGTACAAAATTACCTGAGATTTCTACTGCTGTACAACACTTTGTTCTGAGCACATACACCGAAATATAACTGGAATCATAAAGGTCACAGATAAGCAAATTCCAGTGTATATAAATATTGAATAAAGCATTCAATTAAGAATTTGTAATTGGTATAGTATATGAATATACTAAGTATTTAAAACTACCTTCTGCTGTGCCAATATAAGTCTTCTACTCACCCTACAGCTTTCCATTTGAAGTATTTGAGATACCTCTGAACTAAACTCTTTCTAACCAGTAAAAATGATGGTAAACACTAAGTTATTTTATTTTTGGTTTATATTTGCCCATATTAAACAGTGACTGTCAACACTTTTACAACCCACTATTGAATTTGAAAAAAAAACAAGATTAAGAATGTAACATTATCAGACACATATACAGACTTCAGCTTCAACAATAATATTATCAGAAGTGACTAAAACCAAGTTACCTACCAAGTTAGCATTTTCACAAAACTATATGCAGTTTATACATGAAAAATGTTAACAGTGCAAAGATATGGAAAAATAACAGAATGTCAAAGCCAGGAAAAAAGATCTTTATGATAAGAAACACATGCAAATATTTCATATATGGCAAAAGGTAAAAGATCAATTGTTGTCAATATATTTGTTTAGAGTATTACCTTGCATTTTTTATTCTGCCTTGTTGGTCTGTATACTCCAATCTGTTGGGAAACGGTATCACAAAGTTACAGTGTTGAAAACACTGAAAACAATTCTTTTAAGGCATCTTACCTACTGATCCTCATTAAAATACTTTTTCTTTTTAATTTGAATATTTATTTAACCCTTCTTCAGAAAATAACATTATTTATAATACTGTGGCTCAAAGTGTTGGGTTTTTTGTTTGCTTGTTTTAATTTGTTCAATCTTAAGCTGTTGTACCAGCAAAGAAATAATTTGGGACACCTGACCATAGTGACACTGAAAACAGGTATCTACACACAGGATCCTATGTCAGTACTGTGGAACTAACATTTTAGTGACTGTATCAATAGTACCTTCCATGCTGGTCATCTTTATCTGTATCCATACCTTCCCTGCAGAAGCAGAATAAAGCAATATATCACAAATCAAGCACTATTAGGGAAACTTATCAAACTATCATAAAATTAGAATAAAGTACTCTTGTCATCTTTAAATCCTAAATACAAAATAGAATAGAATATGAAAGCGAGAATTTGAAGGACTAAAGAAGTTGTGTGGTTCCTGTAATATTAAAACATTTTCTTAAATTAGTTCTGTCTCCTTCGGAGCTAACAAAATGGCACAGCTTGATGTGTTTGACAGCAAAACACGCTGCAGTTCAAAGATATCTGTTATACAAATGTTTTCCAGTTAACTAGAGGGGAAAAAAAAGGACATATCAAAGCAGATTTTTTTCATGCCTTCATCAGACATAGGGCTACTAACTTGCTTTTACTATAGTTAAAAGTTCAATTTACTATAGTTAAAAGCTGATTTTGGAGTAGATGGTATCATCATTACTTCTTAGATGATCTACACCAAACAACCATTGGAAACGGCCAAATGCACGGATAGAATGAGAGACTGTATGAAACTAACCAGGCACGCTTTAATTTAGTACAACTTTCAGTGGAGAGACATGGCTTGCTTTTGTCTCGACATGAAAAAAAAAGGAAGGAGGCATGAAGAATAAAAAGGATCCCCCTTATTACATTTTAATATTGTAACCATATGTACAGAAACAAGGAGGACAAGAAAGCATAAATTTTCATAGCCATATCTGGTGAAGAAAGTTGAATGTCTAAGACTACAGCACTGTTAGGCAAAAGAATTAGGAAGAGAATGCTTTGAGATATATATAAATCTGTACAATCGTGCTTAAGCGCACACCCTTAAGCCTGGCTTATTCTGGTTTAATTTTTACCTGCAAATTTTAGGTAGAGGGGAGGGAAAGGCAAGCAGAAACACTAAGCATCTTTTTCAAGTGAAACTGATTATTAAAATATTTATACTTACTCAAAAGGAAAGCCATCAAGCCTGAAAAGAAAGAAAAATAAAGTACACCATATACAGAAAATAAGAATAATGTCTTAGATTTTTTTGTTTAAATTCTCAAGCTAATTTATATTCTATTTGAAATGAAAAGCACAATGAAAACAAGACAATAGCAGTGAACGTATTCTAAGGAGACAAGCTTGTTCAAATTAATCTACTTTCTGAAAGAATAATTCTGCATTTTAGAGAAAAAGCATAGTTCATTATACTTCATGTGAAAAACTAGTAAAACAACTAACCTAAAATATGTTATGCAAATCATTAAGATATTGTTTCATCTTCAGAAATGAAAGATCTGCACTTTATGTGTGTTGCCCTTGTGGTTAGATAAATGGGATTTCAGAGGACTCTAAGGTCAGAAATAAAATTTTAAAAATACAATAATAAAAAAAGAAGTATCCCACGTTTCTCAGTTTTTTCATTGTGCCCAGCAGGACAGATGAACATTTTCTTTTAGTCGGTACTAAAGTCCTAATTCTGAACTTTATACAGACTTTATCATATCATAAGGAAATTAGACAGAATTTCCACATACAAGCTAACTGCTGGCATCACTTCAAGACTGTAAAGTGATCTGCAATACCACTGAGCTTTAACATGTTAAGAGGCTATGTTTTATAAGACCCTTATGAAAAATCTTCTCATATTTGCCATTAACATACTAGTTATTCCCGTTCAACATTTTTCCACGTGCGATGCCACCTTTAGCTACAGAATGCTTGTTGTAATAAAATTCATTCTAGCCTTAGAAAAACCCAGAAAGCAAAATCTAAAAGAGGTACAAGGTAAGTTACAAATGCTTCAGGATAGTTTTTTTTCTTATCATATATTATTTCAACTGAAAACACTACTCCCAAGAAAAGAAATTAACTGTTTATAGACGTGTGGATGAAGTCTTGGATTCCAGCATTTGACTAAAAGAGACCATAGCGGAGAGCAGACAACCTTTGCTGAAGTGACAGCAATAGGTTGGACAGGAGTTTTCCTGGAGGAGAAAGAACTGAAAAGAAGCTGGTGTGGAGAGCTGAAAGCGCAGCTGATCAATATGCTTGCTGGTACTTGAGTGATGAATGAAGAGCCACACTAAAACAGTCACGTTCTTTCTTCCTTCCTTATTCCCTGACTTCACTGGTAAATGAAGCATAAGACTGGACACTCAGACAATTTATGTAACAAATACATCGTTAAGAGGCAGCAAAAGCTGAACAGTAGCATTTCAGAACAACATATACTAATATATACATATAGAAGGAGGAATCAAGGAAGTCTACCTTAAGTTCTATTTTAAAATAGGAATATTTTCTAGCCACCATTTCCTTTGCAACACAACATGAACTGTGGTACAATGACAGCTGTTTAAATTTATTTTACTTGAGATTCAAGGAAACAGTGTTTTCACATATTTAATAAAATGCACACACAACCTAAAGGGCAGAATTATAACTTACAAGAGCAAGCTGTCTTTTGGAAAAGAGGACTTGAGCAATGCTTCCTACCCAGAAGAATAAAGATGGAGAAATCCTTTCTAGAGAAGAGGAAGTTGGTAAGATTGAGGCTGTTTACTGAATTTTGTAGTAGTCAATTCAACTAGAGGGGGTCATGTACTTTTCAGGAAGACTAAATGCATATTAGAGAAGGTACATATGCTGTATGTTTGTGGCCTTTAAATGGTACTTAACGTTTTGCACGTAAGTTCTCCTAAAAAGAAATCCTATGCACAGGGAACCCAATTCACAATTTGTCATGCTCAGCGTGGATTAAAAATTCTACCCCTCCCTATAAAAAGAACTGCCAACAATCCAAAGGCCCACAATGATGAAATTTATGCTAAGTTACATCAAAATAACTACACAGCTGTGTTAATAATGGGTGTGACCCATTCACAAGTTACCCTGCAACTAGACTTTGTAAAGTTACAATTCATGTGAGGTTTGCACAGTAACTTGAAGTAGGTTGGTCTTGGTACAAGACCAATGCAGAAGACATTACACATTTGGAAATTTGACAAGCTTTACCATGACCTTCACTATTCTAAAGCAGAGTTGGTGTGATTGCTTTCTCCTTCAAACACCTACCCAAGAGAGAAGTGATGGCTTGGACAGTACTCCTAAGCAAGCTTCCCTTAAAGAGAAGCAGCTTTCTTGAAACAAAACCACATTCTACCACTGATTCAGAAGAAACCAAGTTTTTATTTTGTCAGAAATAACAGTCTACAGTCAAGGACCAACACAAGATTAAATCAGCTGATTAAAAAGGCAGATCTACTGCCGCTAACCAGAGACTACTCAGATTCGTATTCAACTGGGAGATCAAAATAGCTTCATCAGGCAAAGGTTGGCAGCACACTGATAGGAAGTGACTAAAAAGGCAAAAAATAGGTGAAGAAAAGGAACTATTCCTAGTTTTGCTTCTGCTTTTTAATAAAATTTATCTAACCTCCCGCTAGTCATTCTATTTCCTATGCAAACAGTCAATATAATCAACTGTCACACTATTACACTTCATCAATATTAATTTTCCACACACACACACCAGCAAGGTTTATTTCCTCAGCCTTACCCCATTTGATAGCCCTCAATTGTAGCTGCCTTGAGATGAACGTTTTATTTGTATTATTAAATAATGAACTTTCCTCTTAGTGCATAGTGGCTTTTTTCTTTATTAAAACCTTTTTGACAGATTGTCAAGAAAAGGTTATTTAAAAAAATGCTATAAATATTTCTGTTGTTTCCCCCACTGAACTGTTGTGTTACAACCTCTTTTAGAAGTGTTAAATCAAAAGAAATCCAACTTACTGATAATCAGTAGAGCTTCCCTTTCTTTTCCTGTTACAATCCATTCCTGAAGTGCTAAGGGAACTGGAGATCAAGTCAGCAGGGTCTGGTGACATAAAGTCACTAATTGTAGAAGATATGTCCATCCTTTGGTCTGCCATTGGATTGTCTAACATTGGGAAAAAAGCCAAAAACAAAAACACCACCAAAAAACCACTGCATTAACAGAAGCAGAAACTTACGTATTTTTAACCAAAAAGTAAGTCTCAAACTTAGCATTCTTAAAACCTGCAAAAATCATAATTCTATTATTTCTTTTTGCCATAAAACAGATAATAGACAATTTCTCCTTTTCCAACTACTGGTGTATTGAATATTACATACAAACCACGACCATTCTCAAAACAAATTACTTACCACAATTGTTTTTAAAGAATTGTCAGTGCGATCTTTAACAAAACCAGGTTTACTCTTATGTTAACTGGCCAGCTAACTGCTTCTCCCTAACATAAATAAAGGGTAAGTTCTGTCTGTCTTTCGCTGACTGGGAACTCTAGTTTTAGTGTGTCTCCATTTGAAGATCATATTATCAAAGTTCATAAGCTTTGAGAGTTCTAATTCCACTGAATTTCATGGAAATTCAGAAGACTTCCATAGAAAATCAGGTTAAATAAACACCTCCACCACAGCAGACCCCACAAATAAAAAACTAATAACCCAGTGATGGTCTAAGAATACTAGTTAAAGGTACAAACAAACCTAATTAGCTTTTTCATCCAAAACATACCTACACATTTTAATCCTCTAGATGGCAAATAATTATACTGTTGGAAGAAACTCTGTGAAAAGCTTATTTATTACTAAACGGCATTAACTGTGAAACAGAACAGTTTTTACCTGAAAGCCTGCCTTGGAAGCCTAGATCAACGTGAGAAAAGATGATGATGCTCGGCCTGAAGCAGTTGATCACCTTAAAACTCTTCCATGCCTCATATTCTGTTAGTCAAGTACCTTCAAAAACCTGGATGGGAAGAAAACCAGCAAGCTTACAAAACATTTTCAAAACAAGTTTGTTAAGAACAATTGCTTTAGACACAGTTTATGACAGCAAATAGATGTTTTATACTCAAGGATCGAATTTTAATTTCCTTATAAAGCACAGAAGCTTTGTCCATCATCAAAAAGGTTACATGTTGGGACGTGTATCTCCAATGGCCCAAGCTTTGGAACAGAAGGAATCTCTTCAGCACCACTTCCTTTTGGGCCCTGCTTATCATTCTTTGGTCTTTGTATAAAACCCCTCCACTCACAAACAATGATCAAATCTGAACACATTTGTTGTCAGATGCCACCAGAATGAATCAAACTGCTGCTACAGTGCAAAACAGACTTATCCCTTCACTCCTGGCTGCCTCACTTTTAAGGTGGCCATAGCAGTAAGACAGTTTGGGCTTGGCTTACTATTTTATTCTCCCTTGTAATAGCAGTTGGCACTCTCGAAAGGGGGCTAAACATTGTTCTATTCTGCAGGCTTCGAGTTTTAAATAAAATCCACATCCCATACTATAACTTAAGTCCTCAACTGTGTCTCCCAACTACACTGTAAACTTAGTGGCTGGTCTGCAGGTGGATGTCCTTCCCATCCAGATTTCTGTCACAGAAGTTTTTCTGCAAAACTTACTATGCAAGACTTAAACTGTTCTAAGTCTGCCTCTTGCAAAAGCTTTGAAAGTCTTTTGGGTACACTGTTTTCTGGTTAATGCATCTGTGAACATCGTGACTGCCTTTCCAACCTGCAATGACAGCAGAACTTCCCAGTTACACAGATCAGAAAGCTCCCATGACACTCTCAGAAGTTCGCAAGTCAAACAACCGGTATTCTGACAACATGACCACCTTATAACCAATTCTACTGAATGCCACAATATAGACATGTTGAGAGTTATAAGCCAACAGAAACCTCACAAAATCCAAAGTTGTCAGTACAATTTTCCTCAGCTCTGCCAGAATAGCAAATTCAGAATTTATTTCAAAAGTTTAAATTCTCTAAATTGCTGGTCCTGTTATGGTAATAACTGTCAGGATCACAGCTCTTAAATCTAAGGTCAGGCAAGTCATTGCTTTAATACTACCAACTTGTGAGCAGAGGATCATTGTTGTTCTAGAAGAAGAGCTTCCAAACTGCTGCTGAGGGCTCATCATCCATCTCACCTGAAAACTTCTCTGTGGTCCTCTCTCAAAAATGAAAAAGGAATCACGAGGTTGCAAACATGTGGGCATACTGATACAAGCAAGTTAAGAAGCCAGCTGTCACCAGAAGGTCACTGACAAAAGCCAAGTCAGTACAAATTTAAGTCAAATTAAAAATTGCCATTGAATCCATAACCACAGTTTATTTTACAAGGCTTTCATTCACACTAATACAGTTACCTGTAGATCAGGCCTTACTTTCTTCCTGTTTCAGCCTTTGCCTAGTTGTCTGCTTTGTCTCTCTTACTCAAAGTAGTCCAACAACTATAAACTCAATTATGTTACTGTGGTTTATGAGATTACTACTGTATTAATTTACAAACCACCAGCTAAACCACAGTCACTGACCATTTCTCTGTGCTTGGTTCAGATGCAAAAACATTACCTTAAACCTCAGTTGATGTGCAGAAGTTACAGCTAAACTCACCGTGGCCTGTGGCTAAGCCCCATGAATCCAAATTATGAAAGTACCATCACACCAAATTACCTACGATGCCATTTTTTATGCTCTCCAATTACATCCATGTGCATCCATAATTCAGTCTTGGAACCTAATACAAAACAAGTAGTTTCTAAAATTTCTGGCCCAACCACCCACAATTAACTTTCAAAACTTCCTGAACACCTCTATGTGTGAGCGCACTTCTCGAATGCACATGGACCACTTCCAATGACCTCAAACAGAAGGTTGGGATGAGCTGGAATTGAAAGAAAAAAGAGGAAAAACGGTGTGTAAGTTTAACACAGCCTTTTCCCTTTAAGAATGCCTGCAACAGTCAGCATTTTAGCTTAATAATCAGAACACCGCACAAGTCACTGGTGTGCCTTAATGCAACAACAACAACAAAAATGCTTTGTTGTTCATCTCAAAAATTTCAAAGCAGTTTTACAGAAAAATTTTTGAAACCAAGTATCCATTCAACTGTGCTATTTTCAATTATAACCAAGTGTCTATATTTGATAGTTTCAAAGCAGCTATTTTAAGTGTCTTGACCATTTAAGCAGAACAAAATTACATAAAAAACAGAATTCTCAATTTCTTTTCAAGTCAGCCCTTTCTCTACCATGTCCCAAATGCTCACCCGAGTCCTAACAACCACAGTCCTACATTTTAGCATTACAGGAGTTAAGAATCATTTAAGCATTACAGGAGTAAATTATCACATCATATGTCTCTTGAAATGAGGTTTAAGGTTAAGAAAATGTCAACCCAATGATCAGACCAAAAATCAGCATGCCCCACTATAATAAATAGCGAGCAGTTCAGAGAAATGTTTTGTTGCAAGGCTTTCTTAAAATTCTGAAAATTTTATTATCTTGCTATCTTTTCAGCCTCCAGCTGCTAGTTCTTCAATGGCTCAAAAAATCCTCAGCGAGAAGGAACACAAAAGTTACCCATATATATAAGCAAAGTTCAAATCTTCCTGTTCAAATCTTCATCCTGTTGCCAAAGTACTCCAAGGACCTACTTGAAAAAATGCCATGTAGTCCACTTTCTGATTAAATTCTCCTGTAGACGAGAACCAAATGTCATTGTATCGCATGACAGTGTCTTTCCACAGCCTGTTTGGGATTACTCCCTTCAGGATTCCCCTCCCTTGCATTCAATCTTTCTCCAACCCCCTGTAACAAGGCTAATGAGACAGTAAAAACAAATCTTACTGTGCATCCCTTAAAAAAAAAAGTTAGATGACACGTGACTAGCTTAATCACGCAGCAAAGCTGATCACGAGTACATAAACACCTCTGAGCAAATCAAGGTCAGAGTTAAAGTAGGTCAACTACGTCTGCCAAGCACCCATCCAGGAGTCAAGACCTCTTTACACAAGCACCACCAGTTCCAGTTACCCTGAGGCAAGAGTCAACTATCTCCAACATACATACATATTTATTCTAAAAGAAATGCAATTCATAACTTTATGAATCAGAAGTGTCTCATATCTTAAAAGCAGTATTTCACAACGACAGAAGAAAACCATGGTGTGGTTTCCTTAAGAAGCAATTGAAGACATACTCATTGTAATGACTGAACCAAAAACAGTGACAAAAAGGAAATCATCTACTTCCCTTCACAGCAATATTCCACCTCAGAAGTTAACCGTCACAATACGAACTAGTAAGAAACAGAAGAGCAGGATTATTTATCTTCACTCTCTGTATTTCTTCAAGTGGTGTTGTAGATGTATGTATACTCCAGATGCGCACGCACTCAGTAATGGTGGGAGATCTCCTCTCAGCAGCGCAAGGACTGCAAGCATCCCTATGATGATTTCAAGATGCATACTGGCACACGCAGGCATAGCTGCTGCAAGTAACAAGCAGTTCCTACATCAGAATCTTTATTATGAAATACTCTGTATGAATCAAAGGAAGATCTTTGAACTAAAGCAGTAGTATTTTCCTTTTCCTTCAGTACTCAAGGAGCAGCTGTCAGAATACTTCATATTTGCCCGATACATCGACACTGTTTTAACAGCACATTTGTGTTCCTTGAACCCCCTAATATTATTTGCAAGAACACTCTGTACGCCCAGAAGATAAAAAGCCCTGTGGCTTCCTCTCACACACAGATGCACCTCACCGCACCCTCTGGAACGAAGAAGTGATTTTACCCTGGTTTGCTTGTTGAGGTCATCCTTTTACCACTCACTCATCAGCACATTCGCCAAGCCCGGCTGCCTACAATCCACATCTGGTATTTGGAACTGTTCCCAACCCAACCTCTCAGCGGCATTGGTCTTTCAACCCCGTCCTTAACCACACACACAGAGCAGCAGTGACCCAATAGCCTTCTGCGCCTCTCCTGTTAGCGGCTGCTGCTACGCAGCTGCACAAGTATCCCCTGCTCTGCAGAAGGCAGAGGCACAGACTTCAGCTGCCCCAGTGACTTACTGGTCAAACAGCTGCTCCCCCCATCTTTCCTAAGGAAAAAGTAGCAGGCTGGAGGGAAGCATCCCATGAATTTTAACCAGCCACAAAGCTACAAGATGAATCATTTTGACTTAGGGGGGAATAAAAGTCTCAAATAAACAGAAGAAAAATACCACAGGCACAAAGAACATCTTTCAGCTCTAGAAGTTAATGTAAAGGCAGTTTCTCAATAGATCAATATCCTGCCAACATGCACTCCTCTACCAAAAACAGGTCTGTTCATCACTAGCGTGTCTGAGAAAAGACAAAATGGGACATATCACAGCAACGTCCCGCAGGAGTTTTCTAGACTGTCATAGTGGTAATGGAGCCACAGGAAAATATACTGAATTTTATCTTGTTCATAGAGCACTTGGACTTCCAGTTCAAGAGGCACATCACATCCCATCTCTCCTTGCTTAACAGGGAAGTACTTAAAATTTCCAGCTATTTTAACAAAGGACTTCTCTGTCGCTCTAAAACTGAGAATAAGTGGTAACTAAAATAACTTTCTCTTGCACTGTGGAGCTCAGAACTAGACCCAGGACCCCAGAAGTGTCTCGCCAGCGCTCAGTAAAGGGGAAGCATCACTTCCCTCAGCCTGCTGGCAACGCTACTCCTAACGCAATCCAGGAGGCTGTTGGCTGCCTTTGCTGCGAGGGCACCGTTGCCGGCTCATGGACCCCCAAGATCTTTTCTGCCAAGCTGTTTTCCAGCTGGGCAGCCCCTAGTCTGTACTGGGTCATGGGGTTTTTCCTCTCCAGGTGCAGGGCTTTGCATTTCCCTTTGCTGAACTTCATAAGGTTCTTTACATGGTTCTTGTTGACCCTTTTCCCTGGCCTGTCAAGATCCCTCTGATTG